TTCTGGTTTGATAACTGCCAATTTTTGAAGTTCTATACTATATACAAAACTGTGTTTTTATTAATACTATTATGTACTTGTATACTCAATTATACTATGTCTGATGATATAGCCAATTCTATTGGAGATAACAAGAGACAACACAGGAACCATGGTAGAACTCTTTGTACAATGGTCTTATATATTTATTTCATTTCATGTATTTATAAGAATATGTTTTGTTTTGCCTTGCTTTGTTTTGTTTCTCCCTCTAATATAGAAAGGATAGAAATGCGTGTTAAGATTCATGCATGTGTAGAATCTATAAACAGTTTATGAGAACTGATCTTATGACACATGATGAAATGAATAGATACTTTGAAGAAAAAGACACACTAAAATACTCAGTGCTGATCCTGGAGTGTCATAATGTGAAACTGAGCAATAGTATTATTCTTTGTTCAGAGTGATATTAGCCTGCTTGGGTTTATTCAATCTCAACATAATTGAAGAGATGAATAACTGCATGTATGTTTAAGTGTGTAGGGTTGATAACCATATTTCTAAGTTTTTGTTGGATAGTTGAACAGAACCGGTTGCAACCTCACTGTTTGAATCCCCACTTTATAAGCTCCACTTTACTATCTTCAATAACTATTTGTAAGGAGACAATCTGTAATCATCAACTAGTGATTTTGTATTGCTTATTTTTTTCTCTGAACGTATGTATTATTTCTACCTATTTTCTGTTTTGTTTAGTCTTTCTTTAAATAATTTTTTTTTAAAAAGTAAAAAAAAAAAGAAAAACAAAGAATAGGACAGAAGTGATGGAGAATTTTAAGAGAACACTAAAATTCATAGCTTTTGCATTTTCAATCAGCATATCAGTCAAATTTCCACTCCATTCTTAAGAAAGATGTTGATTGTTCTCCAGTGCTTATAGTAAACTTGGAAATATAACATGATTGGGCTTCAGGAGCAAAGAAAATTTCATTAGATATTGAAGAGGTTTATGATGAATATCTTTACTGACTATAGTGTTGCAATGACTGATAAATAATTCAATATGTTTGTATTAGAGGTAGAACATTTAAGTAAAATAGTTTACGCTAGCTGTAGAAAATTAAGAAGGAGTCTTTAAATAAATATATTGATAATACCTAATTGTTTAGCACTAGCTTAGGGCTCCCCCTACTTGACCACCCAAAGATGGAAAAATTGCACTGGATGGAATTAAAGAGGCAGGAAAGATTTTCTTCAAAACCATTTCTATAGGTCACTTGCACCTGTAACTGGCACAAGCACAGAGACTGGGAAATATGACTCTATCTTTCTTGCTGATTATCATTCTAAGTGATGGTTCCTAGATCTTTGAGAAAGGTATTTCTGAGTTGCAAACCTGGTAGGTGGAAGAAGGTTTACTGTCTCAAAGAAAGCAGGAAAATATTTACAACATACTCAATGTAAATGCCCTAGAAAAATGGGAACGTATAGTCAGAAAGAAGCCAGTCTAAATTTAGTGAAGCTTAGGGAAACCTCAAGATCATATTAACTATCTTTCATTGTTACTCATCTTTCCACTGGGTGTCTAATTGGCATCTAAACTTAGACATGATGAACTCCAGATTTGTTTTCCTTGAAACAATTTCTCCTTCAGTCTCTTATCCTCAGTAAATGATGAATCTTGGCAAAGACTTTGAATCATCCTGGTCTCCACTTAAGGGTATCCAGAATACAGTAATTTCTCACCCATTTCATTACTCCTCATAAAACATTTTAATAGGGCTTAAGTGGTCTCCCTGCTTTGGATACTCTCCTCATGATTCTAAACTTCTATTGTTGAATGTATGTCTAAATGAGTATTATTGTTCTTAGAAATACTCCAAACAGTTTCCAGATATTTTTGGGTTATCTCTCTCAATGTGAGATGTTATTCTGATTGTTGTTTTATAAATATTTTATATTATGCCTTCATCTGTAGAGCTATTTAGAAGCATATTTTAAAGTTTATATTTGATTTCATTCCTGATAATTGAATTCAAATTCTGATTTTACTAAAATGTGATCAACTGACACTTCTATGAAGTAGAAATTCTGAATTTTTCTTTTGTGACATAGAATCTGGTTGCATGTTGTTATTGCAGTGATTTTCATTTTTAGGCACTTGTCTTTTAAGGAGAGAGAGAGAGAGAGAGAGAGAGAGAGAGAGAGAGAGAGAGAGAGAGAGAGAGAGAGATACTAACAATTAAACCCAGGGCCTCCATAATGACCCATATCTCCAATACATTTTATTTTGCGTTCTTATCTTATCTTAATATAGAGTCATGGTATTGCTAAGGAAGGGCTTGAAATTACACCTCTGCCTCAGCCTCCTAGGAGTGCTGCCATGCGAAAATATTTTTTCAAATGCTCATTTTGTCTGGCTTCTAGGCTTTATCCTTTGCTACTTAACTTTAAATTTAAAAAATCAAATCCTCCAAAAACTATATAATAATGTTTCCTTTTTTGCCAAAGCATACTAGTTGTGTTTCCTCAAGCTGAAAATACATGTTTACACAACCAAATTTTGCCTACCGTTTTACTCTCCATGAGATACATCTCCTCTTCTGTTTGTTGAAATCTTGCTGATTCCTGGAGATGCATTTAAAAGTCATGTCTTGTAAACATTTTCTGGCTTGCTTCTGTCACATAATCACACTCACTTTTCCCTTTCCTGGTCCTCCTTTGCACCTCTCCTGTGACATCTCATAGCCTACCTTGCGCGAAGCTGGTTCAAGGCTTGCTTCTCTCCTTACGTCAGATGGCTATTTTCTTGAGCACAAAGTCGTCATTTTTTCTTCATGTTTTGTACACAATAGGCTTGTAATAAAAAAGTCGAGTTGTTTCAGAGTGGGAGAGAAAAGTTACTCTAATTTAAGATCATAGCACTGGGCTCAGTTTGCTGAAGGTGGTAGGGTGGCCAACCTGAAGTATCCCTCCTGATAAGCCTGACAAGATGAACTACAGAAAGCCCCGTTTGCTCATAAGGCCAGGGAGACTTCTAACTTAATAGCTCAGGATATATGATTACTCCCATTGTTTCTGTTCTACGTTACTAGGCTTGAAGAATAGACTTCTCAACTTCTGTTTCCTAGACTTCCAAATAAAACATTGTTTACCTGTAAAATATCACTAGAGAACTGACTGCTTTGGATGTCAGGTTGTTATAAAACACACTTTGTTTTGCCCATGGTCTCTCTGTTTCCTTTAGCAATTTATCAGGTGGAAAACATTATCTTGGTTTGATTTCTTAAGGCATTGTCACAAAATTTCTCTGATAAGCATTTTTAAGAATCTGTCAGAGCCTTCCGTGGCCGCCATCTCTCAGGAAAGATCTCCAAACTTTATGGTTTTTACTTAGCTTTTAGTAATTTGTAGGATAATATTGGTTGCCACTTGCAAGGATTCAAGTACAGTTATAAGTCCTATATGTCCTGAGTGGTTAATGAAAATCTCTCTGACCCTTAGTCATTACCAAAAAATCAGGAGGATCCGACACACAAAAATTTCATGACTGATTTTCCAACTATATGAGCTTTCTTCCTTGCTTTGAACCAGTTTTAAGGGTGTAATGCAAATTAGTTTTGCAGGGCCACCATTACAAAATTCCATACCAGGGAAGTCTAAACAATAGAATGTTATTTCCTTCCAGTTCTGGGGGCTGAATATGGATCCAGCTATCTGTCTGTTTGTTTTCTTCTGTATCCTCTACTTTTGGCTTGACAAGGGTGCCTTATCCCCTTTCTCCCTTTGTCCTTTCATGCCCTTTTCTCTATCCATCCTTATCCCTGATGGCTCCTCTTCTAAGGACATAAGACAAATTGGATGACAGTCCTATCCATATGAACCCATTTAATATTATCACCTCTTTAAAGACCTTACCTCCTTAAAGACGTTAAAGTCTTAATGTACTGGGAATTTAGACCTCAACATGGGAATTCTGAGGGATACAGTTTAGCCCATAAGGTCAAAGCAAGTAAAAACACTATATTTCTGTGATTGAAGAACACGGTATGTAGAAAGCATTTGGTGCAATTTCCTGCACATAATTAGTCTCAACTATTCATGCTCCTGAGAGTTACTTTTACTATTGACCTGGTGTTGATATTTATTATTATCAGCAGTTATTACTCTTATAAAAATAGTACAACAAGTTTGTATTTGCATTGCAAAGATCAAGCAAGATAAGAAATTTGGAGAGGCAATAGCACACATTTCGATGAAACCTATTCCCTATAAGTCTTCTGAGGAAAATTGTGAAGAAGTCTGATGCTTTAGATTTCTTTCTTTCTTTCTTTTTTGAAGAGAATTAATAAAAATGCCCATAGTGTCAAATGAAAACTTGCTATAGAAAGAGTATGTTTTATTGTCTGTGATAGTGATCTTTACTTTTTTGGACACAAAATTCTCATTCATAAACATGGTAAGAAAATAAAAGTAAGCTGTAAAAAGAGTTTACAGTGGACAAAAAAAAAAATATATCTCTCACCTCTGACCTTCAGTTTCTCAGTTCCAATTTGGAAACAATGCATTTGTTGTAGTCAGGGGTTGTACAGAGAACAATTAGAATTAGAGCATGGAGTTTATAATATTCTTTTTATAATGGTCACCGGGAGTTAACAAGAAAGTGCAGGAAATCTATCCACAACACCAAAGACAGAATATTTAGTCAAGGGCCTAAATCTCACAGCAATGTTGTATATGAGTCCAGATGAAAACCCAGAGCTCATCACAGTGCCTCCCACGAGCCCAACTCGATGTCCAGAGCCCACATGAAGAACTCACACCAGTCTCTTTTAGGGATCAGCGGCCCAAAGGTCAGCGGTGGAAGCCAGAAAGTCCATGCCAGCGGGGTGAAGGAGCTGTGCTGATGGGATTAGGGCTCTACACTGGAGCCAAGGAGTCACACTCACAACAAACAGCCATCCTCAGGAAACAGAGGCCCCGAGTTCCTCTGATGACAAGCAAAGTCGGGTACATACCAGGAAGCCAGCGTGACGAGTTCATCCTGGAGACCAAGTGGCACACGTCTTCCCCTCTGGAACCAGGAAGCAACACTCGATGTGAGAACCAGAGCTTCTCCAGGAGAACCAACGGCTCAAACAGCAACTTGTGGGAGAACCCCCAATGCCTCCATGCAACAATGCATTAACACCTCAACGCCTCAACACCTCTTTCTCCTTCTCCACCTATTTTATGCTGGCAACTTGCCTCAAGTGGAGCATGTTTGCTTAGTGCCATGTTGATGTAATCTAGCTGGCATTAAGTTGACCACCAGTTCTTAATCCATAACAGCATTTTATAAAATTTTTTATATTTTCTGCTCTCTCAACAAAAAGACACACCCCTCTCCAAGTTCACAGTTTAAATTTAAAAAGGAAATTTAACATATTTATACTCTTTTTTAACTTTTGAACTTTACATTCAACACTATCTCAGAAATTGCATCAAATACCATCATTAAATACTTAACTCTGGGCTTCTCCTTATTTTATGAGACTTGAAGCCAGAAAACTACATCCCATGCACATTCCTTCTCAGTTAATTTCTAGTTCCCGCCTTCCAAATGGAGACCCAGTGGGAAATTAGGACATGGAAGGAAGAGAAGGGCCCTTTTTCTTCAAATGACTATGGGAGTAGCAGTGGTGGGAGCAGGCTTTAGCAAGTGGCTGCAGAAACTATGGGCTCAAATTGTGTTGGTTATCCCAGAGCAGCTCCAAGGATGACAAGGACAGTAATTCCAGCAGGCTACACATGAGCGTTTCTTGGAAGACTGGTGACACTGTAACCAGGAAACTTCTGCTCAGTTGTGTTGAATATACCTTTAGTAGTTCAGTGACAGTGAAGGTCCAAGGTCGTCTTCTCAAAGGCAGGCATGGCCTTTGATCACTGAGTGATGCTCTCTCCTCTCTCTTTTACCTGTGTTTTTCCGACACCTACTAGCTTCTCATATGTGGTAAACTCTTCTGCTTTTTGCTACTCCCAACATCACCTAAAGCTCTGGCTGAACTATCTAGAGAGGTTTATGTTTACGTTGATAGCAACAAAGATAAGCATTATTGTAAATGTATATCTGTATTTATGTTCCTTCACCCATCATTTCTGCATGGTATCCCGCTGTGTGAGCCCACTCTCATTATGTCAGGATCACCTTAATACATCTAGTCTCTTACTGATAGATATGTTTTCTCGTGTCAACTGAATCTGTGGCTTCAGAAGCTTTGTGAATGTTACTTATTTATTGTACCAGGAATCAAACTAAGGACATTGCACTGCCAGATAGGTACTTATACCACTGAGCTATATCCCCAGATTTGTGGATTTTAATGTAGCTACATATTCTTAAATTACTTTCCAAAGAAGATGAACTAATTTGTATTTTCTCCAACAATGGAACAGGATAAGCACCCGAACCATAGTTGAGAGAAAGTTTTATCAAACTTTTTTATTTCTGATGATTTGATAGATTAAAATGGTTTTGTACTAATATTTAAATATATACTACTTTCATTACAGTAAACTTGAATTCTTTTTGAATATTTAAAGATTGTTTATATTTCCCTTTCAATATGCTCCTACTTACAGCATTTTAAATTCTATTATTTCTTGTGCACTTATATCTCTCTATACATTGCAGATATTAGTTCTTAGTTATACATTTTGAATAATTTCCTCCAGTTTGACATTTTCATTTATTTTTTCTTTGCAGAAATTTTTAATATTTATGTAGTCAATTTTTCTTTGTAAAATGAATCTTTTACTTTATATAGTTTGTATTAATATACAGAAACCTTTTCAACTATGAGATTCCAAAGTACATATTTTCATGTTTTTACTAGCCTTTATGATCATTTTTGTACTCAAGTCTTTTTTTTTTAAACCTGGGATTTATGTAGCTTTAGGAAGATTCTGTGGCCAGACTTTGTCATCTCCACAAGTGGTTAGCAATTCACTCCACTTACTTACTGATAGATATGTTTGCTTATCAATTCTTCACACGACAAATTTGATAACTTTCCTGAAAGCATGCATGTGTACATATTTGCACCACTATGTATACATGTAAATATGTGTAATTTGTATTATTATTCATATGATATTTATCTACCATCTAGTGGAATTATTCCCTCTTCTATGCTCCTCTCTCCTCTACTAGCATTTCATTTTATTCACATTTTTATATAAAATTTAAAATCACTTGGACTTAACACTTTGCTTTTCAAAAAAGCTAGCATGACCTTCTATTTAAATGGGTTTCGAAATAGAACAGCTTTTTATGTGTTTCAAAATACAGAGATTCATTATCTAGAAAGAAGTAGAATGTCAATTGCCTTGGGCCCATAATCCTATTATTTAGTGTTAAAAACACACTAATGGACAACTGAAGGCACATTATATTAAGAATAGGAAAAATCTAGCTTTGAAGATATTCACATGACCAGCTTGATCCTTTCAGAGATCTTGTTTATGGCACAAAACGCATTATGATGTATGTTTATGGGTCATTTTCCTTTGGAAGGAAAATTTTTAATTGTAAAGAAGATGAACCTAAAGGAATCAAACAAACTTTAGAAACCTGGAGCTGGGAGGGATTGCATGATCTAATTCTACTGCCTCATTTCACAAAAGGAAGTGGGCAGGCCAAGAGAAAATAAAATACTTGTTCATGGTCACCCACAGAACTTACAGCAAATGGAACCTCAGTTTCTTCAAGTACTCAATGTATTGCTTTGTCTATGGATTCCATTGCCTCTCACTAGGCTTCCCCAGTTACATGTTTGAACCTCATGGCCAAGAAGACAATACTGGTAGGGGAACCAGCTTTAATGCATACTGAGGTTGTGGTCCTCAGCTTGATAGAACTAGAAGTTCACTTATTTGTCATGGTAGTAGAAAGCCTTTCATTAAAACTCTACCCTTTAAGTTATTTTGTACTCAAGAACTCATTTTAAGATACAAATTCTCCCAGAAAGGTAGCGTGTGGGTCTTTCCTGAAGTCAGAAGGAGGGGCGGATGATCTTTGAACATTATGAGCGTGGATTCCTTTCCTCTGCATATCTGATTCTGGCTGTAGAGAAAAAAGAGGCAGGACCAGTAGATAGTCTTAAAGTCCTAAAAACAAAGATCCATCATGCTCGGTATGCCTTGTATCTTTCTAAGAATGAGGACAGGGATTAAATATACAGTTTGTAAGTAACTAGATTTCAATATCAGAATTATGGATTAAGATAGGGAGTTAGAGAGGGAGATAAAGTAGAAGCTTTGAGATGTTTTAAATTTGGATTTACCAGGCATACAATGGCTCATTATAGGCATCCCTGGACTCCTTGTTAGAGCATAGAGTTAGACTGCTAACTCTTTGCCTTTGTATAACTGTGAAGCTTCTTTAGATGCTTCTATGCACGTACTATTCAGAGTTACAGACACTGAATATTTCATAAGATATCCACATATATTAATAGCATTTGGGGTGCTTACATAATATATCTTAGCAAAAATATTACTTTTATTGTTTGCAGAGCTTCATAGAGATAGAAATAGAGGTAGAGATAGAGATACGAGCAAAGCAGAAGAAAGTGAAGGGCATCTAATAGGAGCTGGGGAGCACCGAGTCTTGTGTACTTATTTTTGTATACCTCTCCAGCAAAGGCCCTTGAAGCATAAAACACCAGGATATCTAAGACACAAAGGAATAGTATGAGTAACTAAGGATAGGTAAGTGACTATTAGAACCTACACCTGGTTCTTGATCCCCAATTAAGCACAAAACTGAAAATTCCAAAGATTTAATTTTAGAATTGCCTGGTTCTGTTTAAATGCAAACTCCCAGGCTTCTCCTAAGAACAGTGAGTACCTTTACTGTGGGCTAGAAATATGCATATTTATTTACATATTTTGGTGTTAGTGAGCAAACTTAATGCCTTGCACTTATTAGGTGAGGGTCCCACCATTGAGCTAAAAGTTCTGTCACCAAATCTGTGCTTTAAGTAATTATTTAAGTTATTGATAACTCATATGACGCTCAAAATAAGAGTGAAGTGTTTCTAATACTTTCTCCCCGGCAAGAAATGCTATAGAACCACAAACGATATCATCTAAAAGAAGGTACTTTAAGAGCCTATTTCTGGTCCAACAACTGTCATTCTTAAGATCCTACCAGGACATTCCCATTGTAAAGCAGCTGCATTTTTTTCAAAAGCCTCCCTTATACTGAAGCAAAATATCTTCCTGTCTCTTCATTTTAATTCTACTTTCAGAGCTGGGTATAAAAAGTTCAGTTTCTCTTTCATATATTAGAGAATAATCTTTAGAACACTTGAAATTTTCACCTTCTGCATATAACGTTCTCATTGTAAAGCATTCAGGATTTCCCCCATGGTTCCAAACGCGCAAGTCATGACAAGTAGCTTAGCATCTTTTTCTTCTGACCATTCCAGACCTATATGTCCATCTGAGCTCAAGGTCATTATTTAACTTTTGTACCTATTTGAATTGAGTTCTCTATGAACTACTCTTGTCCAAAGCTTCCTTACAATTTATGCAGGGAAATGCAATTAGCAAATGATTCTATCAACTACCACTTCACCCATTTTCCTAGAGATTTATTCCTCCGATTTTGACCGGATACTCTTGATCTGTCTAGCTATGATGTGCCCAGCACTAGGTTAGGGGTTGTTGATGTGGCATCAGAGATGATGATAAGCAGAGTTGGGATGGCTCATTTGCTCATTTTATTGTGAGATGATCTTTTTAAACTCCTACCTCCTTTTTTTTAAATTAGAAGGAAAGGTAGCAAGAACAGAGAACACATTTATTCTAAGAAGTGCTTCTTTTATCTGCTTTCTACCCAGAAAACTAGCTTCTCTAGATTTTAAGAAATTCTGAAGCTATGTGATTCTACCCAAAAGGAGTAGAAGGTAATAAACAGGACCAGAAAAATGGGTAAAGTATAGGCGGGAAGAGGAGACAGGAAGCCATTTCAGATAAAGGATTTAACAAGGGAAAAATCTATAGGATTAGCCTGTGTCATTTTGTAATGGAAAGCATGTTGTGTGCATGCATCTATATGTAAGCCTGTGTGAGTGAACAGTATTTATAAGCAGAGTAGAGGAAGCCACAATTCAATTCAAGAATCTCTACCAAGTGCATTGAATTTACATGAAGGAATTACATAAGGCAACATTAGGCAAGCATCATCCAGCTATTTAGCTATGGATGGCAAGAGCAATTCAACTTTTTATAGAGGCAACATGGACTCGTATGATGACAGCTCAACCTTCTGACCCCACTTTATCATTTATGCTGAGAATGAGCTCATCCCAAGCTGCAAATTGCTTCAAAAATAAGTGTAATGGTTGATACATTGTGTCAACTTGAGAAGTTTAGAAATTGAAGGAAGTGACTCAGCAGGGGGCCAGGGTGATCACTTTGTAAATATCCTCAGTCTGTGCCAGAAAAGAGCCCAGAGATGGTGTGAGTGCTGCACTCTCCAGAGGGCAGATAGCCTGCATACAACATAAGAAAGGAAAAAGAGGCTCACTTCAGTCTTTTCCTCTTGTTGGTGTCTGCCACCTTGAACTATTGTCCCTAACCATGCCAACCTGCCTTGGAGCCAACTGATTATGGACTGAAACCTCCACAAACTGTGTGCTAAATAAACCCTTCCTTTCTTCATTGTGGGCTTCAGATATTTTCTCTCAGCAATGAGAGAAAAGTAACTAAGACAATAAGGCAACCAGAATTTGATTTGATATGACTCTGTTCAATAGGTCAGTGTCATACTTTGTCAAAGGAGGGTTAATGATTGGCTTCTTTAGAGTTCCTACTGCAGAACACTGAAAAGAAGACAAACTCTAAATGAGAGCATCTTGTTTGGTTGATAGGGGCAGGGAGAAATATGATCAGAGATACTGTCATTTGTATCATATGTAAAGGTATCACCAATATCATGGTGTGACCAAAAATTCTGACAAAATTGAACTCAGATGAGATATCTGTTACTTTTTTTTTTTTACCATTAGTCACATGTCTATGCCTTGCTTATTAGTGATTAAATGTATAATGAATTGTAATATAAAGCTGGGTGTAGTGAATCAAACCTGTAATCCCAGTGCCATGGGAAGCAGAAGCAGGAGACTGACTGCAAATCTGAGCCCAGCCTGGGCAACTTAGGAACTTAGCAAGACCCTGTCTCAAAACAAAGAAATTCAAATAACAAGATTTAAAAAATTAGATATTTGTTTCAAATAGTAAATTTGCTCCTAGAAAACTGCACTTTTGTAGAATGACACAATATTTAAATAATATCTAAAGCAACGAGGAAACTTTAATCATCTATTGCTAGTATACTAATTGCTATACTATTCAGAAAAATTAGTACAGTACATATGGAAAAATGCTTTCACAAACTAATTCAAACAGAAATTTTAAATTAAAAGATCTAACAGAGTCAGTGGATTCTATACTTACCTGATCATATAATGTGTGACAAAAATATGATAGATGCCTAAATTTAAAAGAAAAATTGTCACAGTTTCTGGGTGTGGTGATGTTCACCTGTCATCTCAGCACTCAGGAGGCTGAGGCAGGAGGATCACCATGAGTTCAAGGCCAACCTGAGCTACGTAGTGTGTCTTGGCTACTTTTCTCTTGTTGCCTTGACAAAATACCTGATGCCCAAATTAGGAAAGCAAAGTTTTTTTTAGCTTAGTTCTTGGAGGCTTTATTCCATATTGAGCTGGCTCCAAAGCAGGGTGGTGTGGCTAAGGAGCAGCCCTTCACAGAGGCCACAAGTGACAAGAGCAAACAGGGCAAAAAGGAAAGTAACACACCTCCTTCACTCACTTATATCATGTGCTAGCTTTCTGCCCCTGTGCCAGTGCAGCACTCACACCACCAATCCCATTTCTAGACAATGAACCAATCACAAAGGCTAGACTCAGTTGCCTCCATGACTGCATGAGGCCTTGGGGGGACATTTAAACAAGCCATAACACAGTGTGTTCAAGGCCAGCCTTGAGATAGCAAGACCCTATCTCAAACAAACAAACAAAAATGGCTACAGTAAAAGAAACATTGTCCATCCTTTCCCCTCCCTTTAAACACACTTATCCAATCAAGCTTACCACTTTCTGAAAGAATCCCAAAAGTCTTTCTCCACGAATGTCTTTAGTTGCCCCGTTGTGGCCTTCATGTCCTGAATCAGTTTTAAATATTTATCTTTTCTGGTTATTTTAATTTTAGGGTCCAGCCGGAAGTTGTGGGGTCCCATATCTGGTGAAGGAGGTAGATGAGGCCCATCATTTTCCCCAACACTGCCTTTCCATTGGATAATACTCAGCTTCAGAATTCACCATACTTTTATAACATCTTGTAAAGCCACTCATTATACATTCATTATGGGTCTTCATCACACCCTGTGTTGAATCCTAATTGCCACTTTTTAAATAGGAAATAGATTAGCCTATGTTCATGTGCAAGACAATTTCATGTCAAGAAAGATCTCAAAATAATTTCATTCACATATACTAATGAAATGATGGATGGAAAGTATAATTATTTTACAACATTTGACTAGCTGTACCATGAAAGTAGATTTTCATATAGTCTTGTGACTAGATCTAAGGCTAATACATGACAGTTGCAGGAAATCAATATAGTATTCTCTAAAAAAATCAAACTTTCAAACAATAGGTAAATTTAACACAATGGCTTGGTGATTGTCTGCCCAGGGTGTGATAGAAAGGATTCCTATGTAAAATTTATACAATTAGAAGCCTTCTCCATCCTCTTTATTATACATGACTATTATTGTATAATACTCATAGCAAACTAATGTGAAGATTTAAACAAAAGTGATACATTTTATGAAGGAAAAAATGACTAAAAATGAGTTTCTACTTTTATTCCTAACAAAAGTTGTAAATAAATTTGATATTTATTTGTTCATATATGTGACACATAACCACAGAAAGATGTATCTCTAACATGCAGTAAACAAATATTAACAGGGTTCAGCATCCAAGAAATGCAATTATGAAAAAAAAATACAATATTACATTGCAAGATCAACCTTAACTGGATAGTACTTTTTGGTACTTATTTGTCTGATTTGTAATACTAAGCACAAATAAATTTGAAGACTTAGAATGCAACTTAAATCTTTGAAAGTTGTAGTAGATGTTTGCATAAAGTTAATCATAGGAGTTGAAACTGTAGTTGGCTGCGCAGGAACCAGATCTGGCCTCCCTCTTTTACTAACATTTATTTCAATCCATTAATAACACACAAACCTTAGGGCTGTGGGGAGAATCTGAAGAGTAGCACATTGCTGGTCTGCAACCTGCTCCTTGCTCTGTGTTTAAAACTGGAGACCAGGGCTAGGGATGTGGCTCAGTGGTAGAGCTCTTGCCTTGCATGCACAAGGTCCTGGGTTCAATTCCCAGCACCACAAAACTAAACTAAACTAAAATAAAGTAAAATAAAAATAGAAATAAAAAGTTTAAAACTGGTGACCAACCTACGTTTGTTTCTTCAAATGTAGGTGAACTTGGGCAAATGATTCAAGCTGTTGGGCTTGAATGTTTCTTTGTTTCTTTAGTTTTTTAGAATGTTTCTGTCTCAGTGTTTCTTTAGTTTTTAAAAATATATTTAAAAAATCTACCTCCAATCTGGTTCACATCACATCATAGGTAATCCTCACTTACCTCTGAGAATCAGTGCTAGAGCAAGCCACAGCTTCTTCTGAGGCTGGTTTGCAATCAGCTAACCAGCTAGTCAGCCAGGGAAACTGAGGTAGCTGGGCCATGTGAATGTCCAAATGCAGGAGACGGGCCTGAGTAGTTCACACGTGGCCCTATAGGATCCCACGAGAAAAAGCAGAAGCAAGCAGGGCCTTCATTGGAGTCTGGAGCCAGCATAACCTTGTTTTTGTTGCATTCTCTTGCCCAAGGCATTTCAGAGGCCAGCCCAGTCAGAGGAGCAGATAAACAGTCACCGCATCCTGCTACGATGTTATGCAAAGTCATACCACACAGAGGACGATACAGATAGGGAAACATAGTGTCTGTGTTGGACAATCTTCCACATAGCTTATGCCCTTTGGTAAATAATTATCAGTTGCAGAAATAAATTGTTAGACATAAGGGGTAAAGATTAATCATAAAATTATGAAGCCTTCTAATTTCTCTGAGCATGCTTTAATGGATATTATTCATTCCTTTGTGCTTTTGTTAGAAGGGTCACTTTAAACCTGTAAAGGCAAATTATCATGTGCGTTAATAGGTTTACCCTGTACTTACACGGTTTGGAAATGTGTGATTATAATTTCGTAGGAGAAATAATTTAGCAATGTTCTGAAGCTTTAAAAAATAGTGTCAGTCTAAAATCTAAACAAGGGTTGATATAAATATATATGGTCTGTTTTCAGAGACATCGTCTGATAAACTCTTGGTTGTTTTAACTAAACATGGATATGTTTGGTTAGAAGTAAATAATAAGCCTAAATTCACTATAGGAAAATGCTAATAGTTTTTAAAATTAGTTGTATTATCTTCAAGATGAGCAACGGTGTTTTTCTCTGTTTTGCTTTTAGAATGGCAGTTCAGGTATCCATGATAGTCTCAAAATTTAACTAGACTCACAGAAAAGAACGTATCTAGAACTTGTTAGTTTGCTGCATACATAAAAAAAATCCTTTTTGTTAAATGCCACTCTCTTGGTATTTTTGTCACTTTGGGGAAAGAAATGACTATATTTGGAAAGCTAGAACGATTGTTACAGAGTAATTGTGGAAGGCATTGCCCACTGTTTTTGTTCACTATATTTTATACAACAATTGAAACAATAGATTGCCTCTAGCCTTAGCAGGAAAGTTTGTCTTGAAAAATTACTCTTTCCCTTCATTAAGGTGAAAGAAGATAGTAGGTTCATCTTTTTTCTGAGTACTAAGAAATACAGCGATTAATATGGAGTCTAATCATTGTTTCATGTGGGTCTTATAATATGGTCTTGATTTTCTATCCTAATTAAACTGCTTTACTTTAAAAACTTTTATTACTCTGATTTACTTACTTTTGGGTAGAGACAGTATATAACAAATTCTATTCTAGAATTATATTTGTGTATTCTTCCCAAAAAATCTATCCTTCATTGTCTTTTTATCAATATTTAATTGCCCAAACCTACTGACCTCAATATATGCTTAAAACGTCTTCTAACATAATATAACATAACAGAAGGAGGTTGCTAACTCTGTGGGATTCTACAAGTTCCTCACTTTTGGACTTTATTCCAAAATTTTTAAATAAAAATAACGTATGTAAGCCCGCATTTGTCACAGCAGTGAATGAGCTGGTTCATCAAGTAGCCATGCATATTTCTTACAGATAGATAATGCTTGTGGTTATGGGTCATTTTTCATCATTTTTCTATAGTAAAAATTCTTTAGTTCTACTGACACCCAAGCAAAACCCTTGGAAAGTACAGAACATTCCTGAAGAAAGTATTAATGTAGTGAATGTCGACGATGTTCTCCAAATGATTAAAATCATCTCCTCAGGTAGACACTTTATAAATAATTCAGTTGTCAGTACCTCTTCTCTGGCTTTTAGGAAGGTACCAGTTTAGAGGTGCATTCGTAATATATTTGACTTCCCATTCTCCTACTTAGTATCCACCAAGTCCCTCTTCAGGTGGTAGCAATTTTATTTGCTAAATGTATGCAAATTTACTCCTCCAAAGCACAGAAAAAAGTAAACTTTCTTTTAAAATATAAATCTTATCCTATTTCTTTCTTTTAGTATCTTTCTCTTCAAGATATTTCAGTGTCATTCTATTAATCCTATGATAAATATAAACCTCTTTAGCACAGCCTCCACAGCATCATGTGACCTGATTTTAACCCATCTCTCTTGCTACACGACACCCCTAGAATCTCCACAGTCTCCTCTATCCTTGTCTGCTGACCACCCTCTACCTCCTGGCCTCCCAATGTTACCAGTTACCTCAGAGTGTTGGTGCATTATCATTTCCTTAGCGAAAGCCTTCAAAGTCCTCTTGCATAGATTGGATCTCCTGGCACAGGGTCCCAGAGAACCAAATATTTATAGTTACGTAGTGCTATCAAAGACCATGGTAAATGTTTACATTTTTTAAGGAATTCGTTACAGTGACACACACCGTCATTATTAATCTCCTTCAAAATACTCGCAGACACTTTGAGCGCATCTATCCCATCATTCTTTGCTACAAGTCCTCTTTCTTGAATGTCTTTACTTGTGTGCACTGCTGTTGTCACCCTGTCGAGGGTCCTGGCCATGCTGAATTTGAGGAAAACCCAAAATTGCAAAATGCCAGACCCAGTAAATGAGGTAGTTGAGGACACACTATAATACTATTTATTTCATAGAAATTGTCATATGTTTTGAATCAGTTCAGCATATTGAGGTTGTTGCAATACCAGCAAAGACACATAGGAGTCAGAACTTCCAGAATGATTCAGAAAATGGCAAGCACGTTTAAAATGAGAGGGAATCTTTTTTAAAAAAAATTCATAGCGTCTTTTATTGTAATAAGTTTTTTTAAAAAAATGTAAGTGTTCATTGTATTTTGTGATTGTGCCTCTTAAGTATATGTTTTGTAACCATTTGACTAATGTCTGTTTCCTGTGAACTCTAAATAAATGCACGAGGACAGTGCTTCTGTTTGCCCTCTTTAAAAAATCCACCGCCCAGCACAGTGCTGGGAAAGTCCAAGTATTCAAATAAAACAGTTCCTAAGAAATGAATGGCTGTGGATATTCCTAGTGATGCACCAGGATGAATTTATGGAGTTGGAAGTGAATCTACTATTTGAAGTACTCAGTATATGTCAGGTCTTGAGTTAGGTTCTAATGTAAGACAGCATCACTGACCTCCAAAAGGTAGGGTATCCCAATGGCCATCATGCTGTGTAGGGTTGGAGAAGCCCCAGCATCCCTCAGTCTTCTTCCCAATACTCAGCTGTCTAAGTCCATATTATGTAATCTCTGCAGCTAAGGCTTCTAATTTTTAATATGACCATTTCTCTTAAAATACGGCCAACCCCAAATATGGCCAATCTTTATAAGGTGTGTCATAGTGCCCTTCTGTGTAAAATGTACAAAAGAAGTAGAAAACTCAGTTTTCCCATTAAAGTTTAGAGCAAAGGAAAGAAGTGCTTTGACCGAGTAATGCTTTCACATGGACATGATCTAGATCAAATTAGCAAGTCACCCAGAAATACTTTATTGCTATTGCAGTGGTTTGTTTAAGTTCCATTGAGCCAGCTCTTATAAATTATCCCTTAATATGTTCTGGACAGTTTGGTTTGGGAAGGATTTTCACTTTTCCCAAGGAGCTAATGAAAATTCAGTGTTTGCTTATTCCCTGTACCTCATCGCAAAAATCAATGTCTGAAGTACAATAGCTGCATAGCGATGATCTGTGGCTTTGCTGCCTTCACAGAGCTGAAAATTATAGCTTGAAAAGCAATCTTTCCTTCTCTCCTCCAGGAACTTTAGATTCACACATCTGCTGCCTTCTTGACCCCGAGCTTTCTATCTCCGCATCAGACAGCAGCGTCTGCTTCTTTCTTTTGTAGAAAATGCTTACTCTTCCCAGAAGCTAGGCTCTGCAGACAGCTGCTTGCCTCACACCTGTGGCTGGATTTGAAATCTCTGTGGTACGTCAGACCAAAGAATGGTGCAAACTGAAAATTACAGAGTACCTTTCTGACTTTTTAGTAGGAAATTCTATTTGCTGGTGTGAAAACACATCATAGAAATGTTGGCCTGGTTAGCAACACCAAGGCATTTTGCTTCTGTTTTTGGAGTTTGTGAAGTAAAGATATTGCCAAGGAAGAATGGAAAGTGAGATTGGTAGGAAAAGAATAGAATCTGAATCCTTTTTCTTCAGTTTATTTAAAATAGGTGTTTTAAACTTGAGGTCCTGGTAGGGTTTGCTGAATACCAACAACCAGGAATGATGTTTAAGAGACATTTAACCCCATCTATGAGGTTAGGAGCTTAAGTAATTTGGGACAATGTCAATTTCATCAGATTTCAAAGAGTTGCTATCTCAGATATAGGATAACAGCCCCATTTTATTTAAAAAGATGGAAGTAACTGTGTGATCAATGTTAAATGCATAGATAACAAAAATGGAATAATGGGGAAAAAAGGAACCATAAGACACAGTAAAAATAATGGAGCAGAAGAATAGGGAAATAAGTTACAAACTTCTGAAAAAATATTTTAATGCATTTAACTACTACTGATCTTAGCAAAAAGTGTTCATTTTTATTTTGTATAAAATAATCCTAAAGGCAATCAGTTTAGAGGAAGAAAAATTGAGGAGGGACCTAAGTTTCCATTTTCTAATATTTGAAGAACTATATTGGTGAAAAGTCTGAATATTTCAAAGAGAAGAAGTTGAACAGATGAATAAAATCCCCAAAAGATGGACCCATCAAAAGCCTCAGAGCACCCAGCACCAAAAGATGGCATAGTGCATTTCCACAAAAAATGAATTTCTTGTAGCTGGAATGAAAAAGCAACAGCCTCAAACAGAGTAACTCAGTTTAACAATAAGCCACAATCTTCAGACCAACTTACTGAGTAACTCAGAAAGGTCACGAAGTTAATCCAAGCTTGTATAGCTCCAGAAAGTCAGACTTGGGATCAAACCTTTAGTCTGATCCAAAATCCCTTGCCAAACTTTTGCTTGGCACCCAGCCTGTCTGACAAACTCCCTGTCACTCTATTAAAGGGGTATATGCTTGCCTACAGGTGGCACTGTTGAATAATTTGTTAAATAAGTTAATTGCTAAATTACATAAATATATGTATTTTCCCCAGCTTCATTAGATTTGTCTTAGAATCTAAAATCCTAAGTAGAATATATTTGAACCTGTTCTGGAAAATGTGTAAAGTTCCTTAAAGG